AAGTATTAATTCCAAATAACTTGTAGATGCAATAGCAGAGTAAACCTCATAATTGTATCTTCAATGCATTTGCATGCCCAACGGACAAAAGTTAAGTAGCACTCCTAGTTGTTAACATCAGACAAATATAAAATAAAAATAAAAATAGAGGACGTACTGATAATGTAATGATGACTGCACTGCACGCTTCCTTATTGAAAGGCTTTTGGAGTCATTGAACAACGTAAATGACAAAGGCATGACAACAGGACTACTTGGGAAAGAAAAGGGAGAATAAACAAGCTCGATTTGGCTAGGAAATAACCAAGGATCAACAGTAATGGTCTAAAGATATTTAAGGACTGTAAACACTAAGTAAACAGAACTATTTAGGGTGATGTAACTAAGCATAATGGAATTCAACTGCAAAAGTAAAATTTAACTTGGTGTTAGGAAAACATCCTGGCAGAGAGGTCTGTGGACCTCTTGTGGAAGTCTCTTGCACAAAAATTTTTAGTACGTTTAAGGTACAACTATCTAAAGCATTAAAAGAGAAGTTTTCAAACCCTTTTCATAAAATTCATTACATCTTAAAGGACAGAAATTCTTAGAGCTATTCAGAAACGTATCCATGCCTACACTCAAACTTGCAGTCATGCTATGACCTTCTCCCTCACTGGCAATATCAGTAACTAAAATCCTGCGAGGCAACAGAAATGTTAGAAAGTACTTGATATATTTGAATCAAGTGTTTTAGCCTTTCTCTGAGAAGTTGTTTATCATCTAATGTTTCTGCCTCAGGGCCTTTCTCCTCCTTTTCTCAAGGAGCTTTTTTCCCATCCTGGCCCCAAACAACCTTCTCTAACACCTCACTATGCCTGTACTCATCTGCTTACTGCTTGTCTTTTTCCCAGCCCTTTGGACATGTGGATCAGTCAGGTGGTCCTCTCCAGAAGGTCTGTTTGGGGCCTGTGCCTTATTCCTTTCTCTGGGGCTTTCTTAAGCAGTGGGGTAACTCAGAGGGAGCTCAGAACAAGTGTTGTCTCCTCCCTCTGTTAAATAGCATGGCATTATAGAAGGATTTCTCGTGGCATCTGCTTCTGCACGCTACCAGAGCCACTCTGAAGCCACTCTGTCTACACATACCAAAACATAAAAATGAAGAGTAGATCCAGCATTAGATCACAAAGGTAACTAAATGCAGCTTTTACCCTCCAACATAAATTTGGGGGTGACTCCTGATCAAAGATTTTTAATCACATGAACATTAATATGTGAAAAGTACAGAAAAGACTTTCCATTGCCTTGTCTGCTGCCTTTTTTTGCTTTGTTTTGTGCAGGCCTATTTAACTTTTTCTCCATTTGATTACACTTCCTTCCATTGCCTACTATATCATCTGCCAAGGCTTTCATAGTTCAGATCCGTTAGCAGTACATTTTATCTGAGCATGATGTTCTGGGCTCAAATATCAAATATAAAAAAATGCATCAAGATTATTAAATAAAAGGTCATAAATACAGCTTAAAAAGTTCCCAAGTTTCAGACTTCCAGGAGATGGGATGACGTACCAAGGGAATACAACTTCCTGCTCACTGCTTAGACATTCATCCTTATCATCTGCCCTTGGCCACTGCTGAAGATAGTCATACGGTCTTTTGTCCAAAATGTATAGCTGTATGCAACACAAGCCAGAAGCAGGCATTGCCCTGATTTCAAAGCAGTATGTCTCAGTGAAGCCACTACATGACTGTATTGGTCAGAATGGAGCAAACACATTTCCTTTAAGAATAACAAGGTCACAGTGTTACTGAGGAATATGTATTTTTCTGGAATTGAGAGCAGCATTTCACAGATGAACTATCAACTATGTCTGTGAAAGTTTCTTGAGAAAAGTAGCTGCAGAGTTTATATCAGCTTAAATCCCTAGGCAAACCATCCAACAGAACAGGCAATCCTATGTATACATGAAACTATTACCCATTTTTATTCCAAAAGTACTGCTGAAATAGTTGGCCATTGCCATTATACTACGTTCATCATAAAAGATTCAGCCTTCAGTTGATCACCAAATATTATTAAACTCTGGGTAGCACAGCTGTAATAATGTTCTATAGTTTTTTTAAAAACAAATATTGGAATGATCAGAAATTCCTTATTATGTGAGGCTTTTGATACCTTATGAAGTCTCTATCTGGGTGTATCAGTAACGTCAGTCTCACCAGATTATTTTTAAACTGCTTATTGCTTGTGAAGACTGTAAAGACAAGGCAAACAGTTCCAAACTTTCATGAATGAAACTAGACGTAATACTGGAAAATTGTCTAGATTTGCCAGCCGCATGGTTCAAAGTTCAAAACTAACAAATAAGTATATTTTTTTATTTCTTTCAGCAGACAGATAACCTATCACCTCTATTAACCACAAGTGATCACTGCATAGACTCAGTTAATTTATTTTTCCCTTTAACTTGCGTTTTTCCCCAGTACATATAAAGTATCTTTTGGAATAAAAAAAATGGGTTTGTGCATTCTCAGGGCCAGCAACCACTCCAGCTGCTTCTTTCTGATGAATAATGCTCATTAAAATGAGTTCCAGTTGAGATCCAAACACTATTTTTACCCTTGTGCGTATTTACCAGTGCTATTTCTCCTGACAAGACAACTTAATAATTTCAGGTCCTGAATGACATTTTTGATTGAAAAAAATGTATTTAAATTACTTATTATGCTGCTCATTTTTGTGCTTTTCTCCAGTTACTTTACTTGTATGTATTGGAGCACGCAAAATGAACAAATGTGGCAATTAAAAGGAAAAAAAACAAAGAACTTATAAACAAAACTTTTAAAAAACAATTAAAGAATGATTGAAAATGAGTGATGTTTATGTTCACTTCCTCAAATATTACAGCAAACAATTTTACTGGATAATACCAGTTTTCATTTTCTGGTAATATCGAAAATATTCATGAGAATTGTTTTGAATTTTCCTGGACTAAAACTAACTTGAAGTATTACAACAATCTAGCCAGCCCATAAACAATAAACTAAATTTTCTTTGATGCTTTACTTTTAAAAAATCAGTTACATATAGTAATATAAATGCACGCTTAAAACCTTTCTCAGAGGAAGAAACATTTTGTTGATCAGTTATACTGTTTCAAGTAAATGAATACCAGATAGGCAAACTGGAATAACTTTAGAGAGGAACATAAAAATGTGTTCGGGAACAGAAAAGACTGACTTTCCAGGAAAAGCTTTTCATGCAAAAGCCATTTGATTAAACGACACTGACTACACAACTACCTGTAAGCTTATTGTGCTGTCTGAATTAAGAACTTACTTTTCAGAGTTCCCCAGGGGATATAGCTAAAAAGATTCATATGGGAAAAGTTATCTCAAACAAGGAAAATCACTGACAGCACAGAAAACGTGCAAGTCATATTAACAAACAAATAAGTAAAACAGAAAGAAAAAGACAGAGGGAGGAATCTGTTTTCCTACACAGTGTATCTAAATGCTCTCCTGTCGTTCACGGCTAAAAGCTAGCCTGGAAAGCACTCAAGAATCTACTGTAAGGAACAATAATGTACTGGCCAGAGCTGCAGATGATCTAATAGGTTTGCAATTATGTCCTTACAAAGAACAAGTGCAAAAAGCTACAGCTGATTTTACAAAAAAAAATTAGTCAGGTAATAACGCTATAGGATTTAACTGTAGGCAATTCAAATAACACATGAGCTTCGATTATAGCAAAATAGTAAAATTCCTCCCTTAGCGAGGCTTTTTGATTCTCTTCTAATTGTCTGAGATACTTTTGTTAATCTTTTTTTATGTTCAGAGAATGCCCATCTATGCACATTACGACTCACTCGAAGGAAAAAAACATAACTGCCAGACTGCAAAGTTACAGAAAGACTCTAGTATCAATTTATTTCTCCTTCAAGATTCACACTGTTACAAATTTCATTGCTTATGGGAAGATATATAGCATTGAAGTGGAAATCTGTTAACAAAAGTATGAAAAAGTAATAAATTGTTTCTATAACAATACTGTTGCAATTGACTGGGCACTTCAGAAATAAAGTCTTATCCTATTTTTTAAAAGAGTGAATGGAAATTGACAGTGTCCTACCAATATCCAGTCCGTTCTGGCTTCACTAAAGCTTACACAGTATTACTTTATTTTTCAAAATACCAGAGTTAGCTGGATTAAAGACAGCTCTGCTGTGCTTATCCATATTGCAAGTCTACTTCTAGCAATCGGCATGGTCAAACTGTGACGGACGCCTTCTCCCTTGCAACTCTCGGTTGAGACAGTTTGTATACCTGTCTTTCTACAGAACAGGACTGCTCTTCAGAAGCTTAAGCACCATCAATAATCAGTTGAAAAGTTATTCTGATTAGATCACACTTCTCTAGTTCAGATTCCACCCATTCCTATTTTAAAAACTACTTTCATGATTGTCTAGAACCAAAACATTGTATTTTATAGGACTGACAATTTCAATTCAGATTGATTTCTCTATTTCAAGTTCCAAAAACCATTGAAGATAACAGCTATCAAAAGCTGTTTGACATAAAAGCAAAAATATAAAAACGTTTTTATATCACAGGAAAAATGAGGACATTTGCTTGTGAAACTACAATAAAAATCATGTACTCACAGCTCTCCTGGGCCATCATGTCTCACATTTTCAAACAGAGTAATTTTCAATTTTCAGGAACAATTGCATTTCTTGTTTTCAGTGCCTATTTTTTTCCTTTCAAACTAACTTTGCTTCCAAAAGGAATCACCACAAATAAATGAACTAGCTGCTATCCCTAAGAAAAGGCCAATGTGTAGCTAAGCAATAAAACACAAAGTGTTCACATTTCTCCTAACATGTAGCATGGATCCTTCACTTTGTAACTGGTAATATTTATTACCCTTACAGCATATACACTTCCAAGTAAGTATCAATCTCACTTTTTCCATCTTTAGCTGACATAGAAATGAAATTTACTACTAGTATTAAAAATTCTTAACAAAAATAGAATTTATAATGTAGGTGTTTCTATGAAGCCATCAAAGTTGGTGGGTAGCGCCTATTTAGTAAGAATAACATGCTAGAAGTACTAAAATCAATTTTTCTGCAAGGGCAGATTTGGGAAAGACTTCTGATTAGTTGCAATATCCTCATGAATCTTTCCATAGGAGAGAAAAATTACTATAAGAGTGAAGTTGAAAGGTCTAAGTCAGCCCTTTGTTGCCTTTCTCTGAAGTCTCTCCAATTAGTCAAGTGTCGACCAAAATGGCCCAAAATAACAATATCCCTCCTAAGTCTCTACCAAACTCATAGAATATTAGTTCCCCAGTCTATAATTCAATGTTTCTTTCATAAATTATTTCATCTTCAACGCACTCATTCACTTATATTTTCTAATATTTGGGGACATCTTCTTGTGTTTTTATTCTCAGTAGTAATTGCATTCTCTGTGGATGTCAAGATATGATGCTTACCTTCTCCTCTACTTCACCATGGAGATTTCAAAATAACACTACAACCTAAGAACTCAACCATAAAATTTAGTCCTCACAATAAGAATGAAAAGCCACAATGAATTAACAATTTCTAGTACATGCATGCACTTTTCTTTTCCTACTTTTGGTATCCAAGTAAAGAACCTACCCTCTTTTCAGAAGCAAATTATTTTTAATACTCCCAACTGCCTTTTACCTTCCTCTCTTTCTTCTTTTTATTAAAAAATATAAATAATATAGCTTCTAATGAATAGGAAGCAACATCAGAGGCCACATTCTTAGAAAACAAACATGGGTGGTCAAGTCTCACAGCTTTTGGCTTGCCTTCTCTTAACACACCAGGGGCACATGCACATCACCACTTTGGTGATCAGAGACTTCAGGCTGCTAACAAAACCTTACTCAACAGAGAAGCTTGGCTGTCAATATCTTAGAGGCCTCCAATTAGATTCAGAGATCTAATATATTTTTTAATGAAACCTTAGGCTATTTTTATATATTTATTTGTTTTTACTACAGTTTTACTACAATAAAAAATGTTAACCATGAAGACCAGACAAGCCATTGCCCAATCTGTTGTTTTTATTTTAGGGACATATGTTATTCATCTACTTTCTTCTAGTCTTTACCATCCATACTAATGGAATGTCAGCTTAGAAAGTAAAATCTAGAGTAAAAGAAAAATATAGGTATTTTTATGATGTATGTTTTAACACATAATATTTAGAATGGAAAATATCTACATTTTTAACATTGTACATGCATATCTATGCATTTTGACGGACTACTTGAGGCAGCTAAAAAGAAATTAAATGAACCAAGCTTAAAACCATGAAGAGCAATCCCTAAAACAAAATAGATATGATTTAGCTGCCCTAAAGTGCTTTCTAATGCAGAAATTCTTAAGCAGTAAAGATTGAAAGTCAGATGGTGATAACTGCTACAAACTGATGCAAAGACCAACAGGGCCACTCATAGTCTGTTCTCTGCTTTACAACAGTGCCTAACTCATGCTATCATATTTACAATATTTTATCTTGAAACAAAAATACTATGATTAACATATTCAAAGAATTGTTAGATTCACAGAGCGTTTAAGTGACATTCACGGTTTCAAAGAATGGAGATGAAATCATCTAAATTAGAAAATCTGATATCAGTGGTACATGCTTTTTCTTCTGTTAGTTTTGCATTTCTAATATATGACTAAGTTTTTAGTACTCACAGGCTTACCATCTGGACCAGGCTGACCAGGATAACCATGATTTCCGGGCTGCCCAGGGTCACCCTATGGAGAAGCAACACGTTAACACACCAAAGATACGAAAGAGCATTTTAAAATTAGCACCGAGCAACCTTAACCTTAATAAATGCCACAGAATAACGGCTGCAAGCCCAGATACCTGCTATTGAGCAATAATTCTCACAGCAAAAAGGAACTGATCTTATAACCCCTCCCTGGGAAAATTCTCCCTAACTTCTTGTGCAGGACTTGGAGACGTGAGTCCACGCTCAGTTAGAGCACAAGTTTGGCCTGTCATCTCAAATGTTTTAAGCTTTTTAACATCTTAATCAACAGAAATCAAAACACTTGTCATCAAATAGATGAAAAAGTCTTTATTAAAACCTTGTTATTCTAGTTATTCTACTAAGAAGAAAACTTTCACCTGCTTTGACTGAGTCTAGTTCTTAAAGCAAAAGCACTGGAAATGCAGGAGCCAGGATTAAAATCTGCTAAATACTAAACTCCTTTCCACACACTTATTGCTGTCTAAAAAAGATAATTCTTTTAGATTTTTTCTTATAAGGCCTTAGTAATTATTTTGATAACCTCTGTTATGACTATGTTAAAGGAAAATAAAAGTTGGTTCCCCAGGCTCCATGTCTATGGTAAGAAAGCAGGAACTTAACTTCCTAGTCAATATATCCTCTTAGTGTATTAAAGTTCTGTTTATTTTACTAATGGACTTGATTTAAGAACAGCAAAATCCAATAAGACTTGACCTATAAAAACATTTTACTTCTACAGGAACGTCAAGCAGGTACTGCTTTCTTCAGCCTGAACCATCATCAGACCTGTGGGTCAGTTAAAACTGCAGAGTTGTTATAAACAGGGAGGACATTAGGAGGGATATATGAAACTAGCTTTCAATGTGACTGAAAAAATATCTTTTCACATATAAACCACAGAAATGTAATGCTGAGCTAAATAGGAAAGGATACAGAATAATGTCTCTTCAGAAAAGTATAACAGTTATAATTTGCTAAATTTATATCAGGTTATCCAGAATTATTACTGCCCAAATTAAGAAGTCCAGGCTTGAGATTTAAGCAAAAATAAATTTGACTTCAAATATACTATCTAAACTATGAAACTTTACGCCTTTAACTTGAACAGGTTAAAATATCAGTTACTTGTATTTTAAATTGGTTTAATTTAATTCATTTTATTTTACTCCATTAATATGACAACACAAAAATTGAGTTCAAATTTATACTGTTCTGAAGTCCAGTAATCAAAAGTTAAGAAATACCGTAACTAAAATAACCTATTGTCCTAGTTTTAGCTGGGACAGAGGTTTTTTTTTAACAGCTAGAAAAGCTCTATGTTTTGGTTTTACTACAATCTTAAATTAGCTTCCTTTTCACTCTTTCTGCAGTCTTGCGTGTTAGGCAGCATCTTGTCACCTGTGTTATTCAGTTACCCCCAAACAAATATATTGCTATGCAACCAAAAGATTGCACATGAAGCAGGGATCTAAACAAAACTGTATAAGTCATCCTAATTCTGACATTTCATACTCCTTCATACTTTACAGGATGCGGCTTTCAATATTTTTTAATACTTTCTTCCCTCTCTCTTTTTTCTCTAATATGCTAATATAAGAGGAAAGGAAAAAGGTAAAATACTACAAAAAACCTGTTACATGAAATAATAATTATTTCCATCTTGTGGATTCCAGTTCCCTTATTAGAAACCCTTACCATTGTAGCAAAACGACCTTTGACCTGAGGCAGCTGCAACAGACTGTGAACCCCTTACATAATGAGAGTAGAGGGTTTTTTAATCATTTGCTTAATGAAAGACAAGAGGTTTGGGGGTTTCTTGTCTACCCTTATAAGGCAAGCTAGTAACTCTGGAAGCAGTGCTTAGCACAGTTATTGAGAAAGGTTCTGCAGTAAAATACTAGGGATTTGAGTTTGCCATGTTAAACATCTGAGACTCAAGTCTCGTTCTCATTTTAATCCTTCACCAACACTGAAGGGAGGTCATCAGAACAGCTAAGGTGGAACTCTCTCAGTAAGCACCTAGTCCTTTCTTTAACAAAGAAGGCAAAAAAAATCTCCAGTAAAAGACTTCTGTTAGCAAACCATTTCATTCTCAGACAATTAGCAGTGCAAGATCATTTGCTGAAGATTAGTAAGGAAATACAATTTTACATCCATAAGCATTTTCCTTAAAAAATAAAAGATACATTTGTGTTATTAGGAGTTATGGCATCAAAACCTGGCCTTGAGGATCCTAGTCACTGTATTCATGCACTGGAAACCAGAACTAGGAGAACTTGTCCCCTACTTTTCTAATCTGCCTGACTATAACTAGTCAACATAAGATTTTTGGGGAAAAAAAAAAAGTAAAAAAAAAGTCATATACGCTCAATAAGACAGAATGGAAACTTACTTTGGGGCCTGGAGGTCCTTGTTTTCCTGGTGGGCATATGCAGGGGGCGGGTGTTGAGCCTACGTCACTAGGACCATTCATGCACTACCAAGAGTGAAACCAGTCATAAATACACATGCCAAAAGCATTCAACAAACATATCACAACATTACACGAAGCTGCTTTTCCTTAGGTTGCATAGGTCCTGGCTTTCACTCTTTTGTTCAGCTGGAATTTCTGCTTACCTGAATATTGCCTTCCAACTACTTTGCATGAATTCGTCATTTTACCCAGAAGAAAAATAAATAAAAAATTAAGTACCGATACTGGGCTGATATCTGCAACTCTATTTGCTTTTCCACAAACATTTTTTTATTTAGTTTGATAATTTTAAACCTGGCAACATGCAAAACTCTTCTCCTAAACTACTTGATATTGATCATTTGAAGTCTGATCAATTATCAAATATAACTATTTAATTGAAAGTTTCTAAAAAGAATCTAATTAATATTACGTATAGCATAATGACCACAACCAATGGGCATGCTATCATGTGTAGCAAGCCTGAAAAGAACATAAAGACCAAGTCTCCTACCTTCTGGGCATGTGTCCCAACTATGAAGCTACTTAAGGAAAGGTGGAGCATACCACCAACTCCTACCAGCCACCGGTCCTGACTCTCAGGGTTCCTATCCTCCAAAGACCATTAGGTGACCTTCTCCAAACTCTACTCCCTATACAAACAGCGATAAACACTAAACCTTGGCAGACCACATCATCCTCTAGAGGTTTGTTTTTTTTCTTTAAGGTATTTACTTCTCACCATTGAAACCACATGAAACCTCAGTGTTTTACCAAGGCAGGCAAGAGGAGAGCTACTAAATCAAATCCATTTGGCCAAGGTCAGGCACCCAAAATTTAGGTGCATCTGTACTAAACCTATATGCTGAATTTATATTCATTGAATTCTTTTTCACCCAGCAAGTTCATAAAGCTACGGAAAGGCTAAAATTTAAGAATCCAAGACACAAAAAAGTAGATTTTGTATTTATTACCTGAAACACTTTTTATAACATTTTACTCATATTTTCTAAAATAATGCAGAATTTTGCAACGTTCTCTGAATGGAATTTTTTCTCAATGTCAAGTGATTGATCAAAACACAAATCCACGTGTCCTTTGCAATGGTACCAAGTGGAGTTATGGTGATGGTTAGGGAAGTTAACGTATCAAGCCTTCAAACGAGCTCCCATTCAGAGAGCTCCCATTAGCATGATGCAGGTAACAGCTATCTGACTCTGCATATCCCCATTCACTTAGCAACAGCATCCAGCCCGGGAAATAAGAGCAATTGAATTCAAACAAAGAAAAAAATCAGGCCATTTTTTCTAAACAATGTGAGTTTCTTCAGAAAACCGACTTTTAATTTGCCTATTGACTAGAGTACAATTAATGGAAATCCAGCACTTTTAAGCTTAGCAAACCTCTGTCCACTTTTCAAAACAACGTGTATATTCCCTAGAATAGTAAGAAGTGTACATAAAGTCAAATACTACCTTAAACTGAGTTTGAGCAGTTTAGGATTGAGCCTACCTCTCCATTCTGAAACAAGAAGAAACATAGTTTAAGAGTACGGCAATATTTGTAATAAGCAAAATCCATTCATTTGTAAACACTACCAAAACCAATCACAAATTTAGGGCTGTTAACTGTCAAGGAATTATAATTCAAAATTTTAGGCTTTCTCAGAATTATGTGCAGCTACTATCAATGCATATGAATTTTTAGTCCATTTTATTTAAGGATCTTTCAACAGGAGCTACCAGTAGTAATTTTTAAAAAGTAATGACAAAACTTGAATTAATACTGAACCATGTAAATATTTACACACTAAATGTTTAGATTTGAGGCAAACCTTTTGCCACAAGTAACATAAAAAAAATTCTCTGCTTTCTCATTCATGTCAGAGAAGGTACCAAAATATTTCTAAAATGTCTGATGTCTTCCTGAATCCAGCATCTGGGAAAACACGGCAGTACAGAGGAAAGGATAGCTTTTTCTTGCTTTCCTGTGTGACTGCATTAGACTCTTCTATCCACTGAATTGAGTTTTCCAATATTTGCAACACCACAGAACAATCCGTCCCCAAATATTTCAGCATACCCATCATGAAATTGTCTGTCCTAACAGTTTAGTAGTCACCATTAGCTGCACCACGTACAGTTTCCTAATGCACACAGTCATTATAGACTTCATACATAGTCTGTGGAGAGAGACAGCTTCCTCTGCATTCGTTTTTCATCTTAGGCAGCCTCTAGTTATCTTTCTCCACAGATCATACAGGGAGCTTAAATTTACTATGCAGCTAGGTATCTCAGGGAAAGGGGATTAATTAAGGCTGTAATTAGTACATACAACCCCTGCTTAGTTCAGGAGCTCTGACACAACCACACCCTGACAGAATACAACCACAAACCACATACTCCTCCTTGGAGATCATCCAACATTTGTATTTTCTGAAGGAGTCCAGAATTTCATGGGTAAAGTCCAAATTTAATTTACAACAACAGCAAGTGAAACTAAACTTGCCAAAAGTAATCTTTTTTTGCTTAGACTTCTTGCCAAATCGCAGAGAACATAAGATATGAGTGACTTTCTAGTGTTTGCTTTCTCTATGCAAAAACTTTTTTCATTTGTTTACTTTCCGTATCCTACTTCTATTTTATAAAGAGCAAAAAGCTATGTGGTGTAGTTAAAGAGCCAAATATTAAATTTACTTCAGGATTTAAAGCTAACTTCACAAAAGTCTTCTTGAACCCTTTAGTTCTTGAAAAACACACAGTCAGATTTCAGAACAGCTAATAATCCAGCCACCTACCCATTGCCTAAATGAAAGCTGTGAGTTTTGAAAAAGCCTGAACAAGGGTGCTGATTGCAACAGACACACTGGCCCCAAATAAATAGAAAAAAAACAGACTAGCTGGAGGTCTGTGCAAGTCTGACGAAAAATAAAATAGCTGAATGCTGAAGATTCACAGGTTCTATTGTCAAACTGGCAAAATGGTCCTAATACTAAACCAAATCACGACATGAAGAATATGGGTTTACATAGTAAGACGCTGCTGTCTGGTTATCTTTAGCTTAGTTTGTTCTAGACACCAAACAAAGGAGGACATTTTGAAAGAAACTGTATATATAAAACAATCTCTTGCTTGTATTTTGAGATGAGAGCTGAATGCTTTTGAAAATCTGGCTCTAACAGTGTGTCACGAATGGATTCCGAATCTGTTTGCATATGTTTTACATTTCATTGCATAATTAATTGTAAGTAGTCAGGCAAAAAAGAGGGTCAAAGGATCCCCATAAGATTCCTAATTGTGTACATGAATCATAAAATCCTGAATAGGATTTTATTTTTGTCTTATCCATAACATACTTCATGAAATCTTGGCAACATTTCAGTTACTGGGATATTTAACACAGGCATCCACATAGATACTTCTGATAGGAAAAGGTGATTTAAAAATATAGGTTTGTCGCTTATGTAGAAAAATTTCAGAGATTAAATTACCTGACAAGTAGCAAGAAATATATCAGGTAAGTTAAAAAGTAAAATCTAGAGTATTTTATACTGCTGTAAGACAGTCTGAGATTCTTCTATACTTCTGTAAAATTTCCACCATCAAATATCTAAACTAAAAAAACTTTTAAAGTATGTTCCTGCAAAAATAAGGCTGAAAACAGACAAGTTCTTGATATTGCACAAGTAACAAGCATTTGTTTGCACCAGCAGAATCAATGTAGTATTCATTGAGTCAGCTTTAAACAGTGATTGTAAAACATGCCAAGTAGTCCTCAAAAGTTCATCAATCATACTCACAAATCCCGGGATCTCACAGACTGTTTCTCGATTATTTTGCTCTGGGTCACAGTAGATTCGCAGTTTCTGTATATCAAACTATAATTCAAAACATAAAATACTTTTTTTAGAGAAAGTGTTAATAATCTGTCATTAAGTTAGTTTAAACTATACTCTTCTTAAATTTTATCATCCACACGTTTAAAAAATTGAATGAAAGTCCTAAAATGTAAGAGAAACTGGAAGCTCTGTGTGTCCACTATGGATAAAAATCAATTAAAGATGTAGAAACATTTTTAGTCAGGATATTCACAACGATTAATACATGCAACCAATTAAACATTCTGTCGACCTTATTGGCATCATGGAGACGTGGTGGGACGACTCCTATGACTGGAGTGTCAACATGGAGGGGAATAAGCTTTTTAGAAATAACAGAATTATTTAAAGAAAAATAATCAATCCAAGATTTTGTTTTCTAAAATAATAGAAATCATCGCCTCTAATCCTTGGCTACAAATCCAAACACGCACAACACGAATTACACTGCCTGTTAATACCATTGGGAAACAAGTTACAACAGCACAAGCAAAAGCAGTCTTTTCCTTTTTAACTTAACAGTCCTGGGAAGATGTTTTACACCGACCTGTAAGATGTAGGATTAGTAAATTTTGGTGATGCATCAGAAGGCATCCCTGATGCTTGAAAAAAATTTGGTTTACAGTTTAGCTGTATAACGTAAAACTTTAAAGAGCAGCCAATAAAAACACTGGCACCAGGTAGGCAAAAGTTTGTGTCATTCGCACTGTCACTGTGCTGCAGGAAAAAGAAACTGATTAAGTCAGTTTTTCTAGCATAAGGTACCACGACTGCAAAGAGAAAAAAAACCCTGTTACACTTCTCTGAAATCGTAGGCCGTAAGTTGGACTAGCAGGAGAAGAAAGCACAGAAAACAGAGTCTGCTAATACCATGCCTACTAATACATGTTTTCAAATTAAAATGTCTACAATTCACAACACACAAGTTTATCACCGCTACACTGGAAAGCACTTCAGCCAGTAAGACCCTAATTAAATTGAGAAAAATTGCAAAACATCACTAGAAAACAGCTGAATCAGAGAACAGAAAGAATGAAAATTCACCAAAGAATCTCTGAAGAAGATTCTTGCATCATACTTTGTATCCAACTCCAACTGATTTCTTTTTTAAAGGATTTCAAAATACCTTTTCACTGAAAGGCGGTATGCAGATTCATTAAACTATTTCTGTGTAATCATAGTTTAAATAGAAATATCCTGGCAAATTTTGACTGTTAATGCTTTGCAGGATGCGTCACAGTCTGAGAAAGTAGAGAAAGGAAATACCTCTTTAGATTATAGAAATCATCTGGAAATATAAAATTGCAACCTGAGGCAGATTTTCTACTTTTCTTCTAGTCCACTATTGGAAGAGGATCTTATACAATGTGACATTCCTAAAATGTTTTCATTTTTTTTATTTTAGATAACATGTCTTGCTACTAAGATTCTTTAACTCAGAAACTGTATTACTGGGAATCTATAAAACTCCCATTTCTGCAGCGACTTGCGAGAAAAACAAGACACAACAACAACAAGCAAACAACCCTATAATCCTAGAATGCACAAAACTATAAAAATGGGATAATCCTGCACTGACAGAAAAAACACAAGAGACGATTGATTACAATTCTGAAATCTCTACTTTCCTTGCAATATGTGCCTGGAGTCCTATCAGAAATCTGCGGACAAACATTCCATCATTTTCGCAAAGGGGTACTTTAGTATACGGACAACGTTACCGCCAGCAATGCTGAGTCACACGCACAGTGCGCCATCCAAGTTTCCATGTACGGTTTTAGAATATGATAATAATAGAACTGAAGCCTGGCTACAAATACACAAAATTCAGGAGTAACTGAGTAAAGACATCTGAGTTAATGAAGATGATGCAAAACACATTAGTATCTTTTATCAGGAGCAGTAAGGACCATGAGAGGACAGAAAAAGCCTATAGCTTTCAAAACAACTAAAAATAATGTCATAATAAATAATAATTAATAAATATATAATTAGTAATGTCATTACTACATTGCTATAAATATAATGAAGCCAACATCTGGAACACTGTCAACACACAAGTCTTCGCTACCAGTCTATACAGCCTTTACCTTCACAATCTGAAGTTTTAACCATTTTTTTGGTGTCTGCATACAACTGAAGCCAAAAGGAGTTTAACCTTCCTCAGAACAGAAGAGAATCTTAGTACAGGATTTTCAGGGTTTTTCTTCCAGCACAGCAGAGTCAAACAGTGCCAGTTTGCATACCAAATATTTGCAGTATAGAATCATAGAATGGTTAGGGTTGGAAGGGACCTCAAAGATCGTGTAGTTCCAACCCCCCTGCCATGGGCAGGGACACCCTCCTACACCAGGTTCATCTGACCTTCCTTTTCCTGGCAAGTGATTGTCTTGCCCCAAGTACAAATACATTCTTTAGAAATAGATGCATGCCTAACTTAAAACCTGCTTTGACACAGGCAGGACTCACAAGGAAAGAAAACCACATTGTGTATGTATGACAGAAACGGAGTTGATACGCTTTATTCTTTCTTGACAGTTAGTGATAAGAAAGCAGCTTCCTCAAAATTTTGCTCTCTCCCTCTTGTGCCAGCAGACTCCATACACTTACGTAAGCAAATTATATGCAAGCGTCAAGCACAGAGGAAATTCCCTGCTTCGAGACACTGTTTCCCAAATTCAGGCAACAACATTGCATCAAATTTGTGTTTCAGCAAAAGTGAATGTCCTTGAAGTCAGTGAGACCAATTAAGGACCTTGTCCTTGAAGTCAGTGAGACCAATTAAGGACCCGCAGCATGGGGATATATCAGTTGTGCTGAATCCTCCTGACGCTTAATTTTCTCACTTAACGATTAAAATCTTGTATATTAAATTTCATCCTAGTAATTAGAAGAGTAAGTTCGAGTAAACAGAAGGCATCAATGTAATGTTAACCTATAGTAAAATTTCTGTTCTCACTTAACGATTAAAATTTTGTATATTAAATTTCATCCTAGTGTAAATTAGAAGAGTAAGTTCAAGTAAACAGAAAGCGTCAATGTAATGTTAACCTATAGTAAAATTTCTGAATTATTGTGAGTTTAGCATATGCTTACCTGTACAGTTTCCTCCTTTCCAGAATACTTTCCTATTTGGGTCAGGCCACTGATGTAAATACCTAAAACAGGATGTAATGGCTTCCTTTCAATTTCTTGGTCATCTATATACAAAGTTACAAAGTCTTCTGTTACTAAGAGACGAATTTGATGCCAGCCTTCATCAAACAACGTCTAAGAAAAGTGAAGAAAACAGAATCATTTAAAACAAAATGTCTTCAGTTTAAATAACAATAAAACCTAATTTCAACATTTAAACAAGTGTTAATGGTTGAGATGATCAATGTTCCAGGATTTGTCATCCAAAAAGTTGTAAACTGTATAGGCAAAATTATTTGCCAAGTAATATTATAATTGAGAATACAGTTCTTGGTAATAATCTCTGTTTCAGAATTATTTTATAACTCTCAGAATTTTTCAGTCTGTGATCTTGAACATGCTCAAACCTATATTTGTTAAAAATAAGAAGCCAGAGGCCTTTTTTTCAGCAGTAATACAATGTCTCAAACATTTCAGATTTAAAAACATGGTGAAAACAAACTGGTACTTGAAAGTCTTTCTATTTAATCTCTTATGAAAAAAATCTTAAAGACAACATGATACTAGTGGAAAGAATCACAATATTGCAATGAATAAACCAAATATTACGTTCATCATCCCACAAAACCTCAGGTTTCTAAAGCTTAAGATTTGTTTTAAACAAATAGCATAGTTCTGTAAGTAACAAAAATGACAGATACCTTAGAAGTATTTATCTCACCTATCTTAGAAATGAAACTCAACACGGGAAGAAATGCTGCCTTCTTGAGCCCATCCATTAATTTCAAAAACAATCCAGCTCTTTAGCCCAGCCTAGCCTAGATGCTCTACCTTTTATATAGCTAAATCTAATAATAGAGATTAATCCCACACTAAATTGGCATACATGAACTGAAACATACATCTTTCAGTATGTTATATATCCTTGCTACTTTTGTAGACATAAACAGAAATTAATTTTACTTCGCTTAACAGTATACACCCTTTGATAGCAACTCTGTTTCTATTTCATTTTCTTCTGTAGACTGGATTTTTATTTATTTACAATGGCTCTCATTACAACACAAAACAAACAACAACGATTAGAACATATAATATTTTCATTTTCCTGAGTAAAAGTGATAAATTATCATAACGGTTTATTAAATAAAAGGGTGTATTAAAAGCATAGTTACATTTATAGCGTGTTTAGAGACATACAGCTCTAAAAAGGGTATAAAATTATTGCTCTCCACAATAGCAATACAAGCATGGAGAAACACAAAGAAAAAAAAAAGGAAAGACTGATTTTTCACTGTAGCTGCCAAAAATAAATAAATACAATTTTTCAGACTGACTTGAAACTGAATTTTCTAACAATTTCCAATAAATCTAGTTTAACACTGTGTCTTTAAAAAAATAAATATTTGACCTACAATAATTATTAAAAGGCAGAGGAAATTTGGAAAAAAATAGTAAAATTCTTCATCCAATAACAGAAGAATAAAATATTTCTCCCTAACAAAAGCTTAGTAGTTAAGACCTTCTCTTGGATAAGAGTCCTTCCTTCTCTGAAGATTTATATTTCAAATTCCTTCAGCCTGATTTGGAACAGGGACTCAAACGCAGGCCACCGCTTCCCAGAAAATTTGAACCCTCTTGGTCATGAAGTGCTCCAGCAGTAAATCTTTCCCACTCTTTGTCTGCTGAAGCATCCCTTTTTGTTCACTCTATTAATACTCCCTGAGGTAGGAACGCAAATATCCAAGCTGTGTATTCCTGCTACAAATGCAAGAGTGGAGACATTCAATCTCCTTCCCTCTGTCTCACCTGCAACTGAGATAATCTTTCTTACAGAATCGAATACTTCACTGGAAATTACTGAAAAAAGATGGAAAGGGAACCTTCAGGTTATACTAGGAGACAATAAAATTGGTTTGCACAGAGGAGAATCCCTTCTTCAGTGAGAAGAATAAGCAGCTGAAAGGAATTTTTATTCAACAGAGAACCAGACAAATCCAGATTGAACTCTCATTTTGTAAGCTGCTATTAAGAAAGGAACTTCTGTCATTATGTATTTTCAAGGAACTTAGACCCTTAACAAAAACTTTCTCTAAAAAAGGACTCTCTTCATTCACATTTTCTAGTCTCCATATCAAAGCCAGAAAACACTGGCTTTGATATGGAGAAAACACACAAAAAAAAGATTCTCTGGGATCTTCACAATTACCTGCTGGAAACTACTGAGTAGAAAGCACCCACAAAGCATTTACAGTGATTATCAATGTGGACAGTCTGGAAACACGGGTGAAGTACCCCATCTATTTTTAAAATGCCTAAGCAGCCAAAAATAAGACTATGCATTTTTAAAAAAACATAAAGGGCAAAGGAATAACATGTACTTAAATGAGTATTCCAGCATGATGACAACTTACTCCTCACCTTTACACGAGGTGCAGCAAAAGTAATAACTTGTGTGCCATTTATTAAACTTGTTGTAGTGAATGATAATGTTTTCTCTTCCCCATTAATAGTGACTGCTATCTGTGGTCTCTTATCCAGACTTAGAATTCTCCACAAATCCCACGTCTTCTTAACTTTAAATCTTTGAGTGGAAACAAACACATAGGACGGAGGCAGACCTTCTGGAAACACATTCCTAAATAAGGGGGATGGAGTGGAAAAAAGACAGTACTTGAACATTCATATAAATCTTAAAATAACTCTCACTTCAAGTAAACAAACAAAAAAATCTTACTAAATTTAGAAGGGTTTTTTGTAAATTTAAATACCTTGTCAATTCTGACAGGTCAACACGTGAGGTTACTTCATAAGCTTTTGCATTAGTGGTTGGTATTTGAATTCTCTTTTTAACCTTCTTCTTCACACCTAATCCTACAAGAATGTCAAATCCTTTTTCATCTCGAGCTGCCACTGGAATTCTTGTTGGACAAACAGATTCTGCAAAGTAATAAATGCAAGTATAGTTCAAAATACGACTTAAAACTTTCAGAAAGTAACCCTCCACCTACCTAATTTTTTGTAACTGCCTTTCAAGAAACAAGAGAATTGAAAACCACCAGTTAAGTATAACATGAGAGACATGACGTGCAGAATCCTCAGAGACATGAAGCGAGAATACTCAGATGTCATATTTTAGCGCAATTAGGTTCACGTACTATTTTGAATTGTCATTGATTGTAGTTAAAAGGTATTAAAATATCTGACTAATAAGAATTTTTAATTTCTAAAACTGGTTTCAAACTGCTACAAAATTATAGACATTAATTTCCATGATGTACTAACAATTGGCTTAATCCAGCATCCCTCCCAACTATAAAATCAGATTGAAAATGGACAAAGGTAGAATTATCTGCAACTATTTTTTCCATCTTCTGTCATTGTTTAACACCAGCTGAAACTAAGCACCACACAGTCGCTTGCTCTCTCCCCACTCTGCAATGGGATGGTGAAAAGAATCTGAAAAAAAACTCTTGTAGGTTAAGATAAAGATAGTTTAATAGGACAAAAAAAAATAGTAATAACAATGATAATAAAAGAATATATAAAACAAGTGATGCACAATACAATTGCTCACCACTCGCTGACCAATGTCCAGCCCATTCCTGAGCAGCGACTGCCCGCCCCCAGCCAACACCCCCAGTTTATATACTGAGTATGGTATCATATGGTATGGAATATCCCATTTGCCAGTTTGGGCAGTCTGTCCTGGCTGTGCTTCCTCCCATCTTCTGGGACACCTAGTAGAGCATGGGAAGCTGAAAGTCCTTGACTGCTTAGGACAACTGAAAACATCACTGTAGCATAAGCATTGTTCTCATACTAAATTCAGAAACATAGCACTCTACCAGCTACTAAGAAGAGAATCAGCTCTATCTCAGCCTGAACCAGGACATCTTCTTTTGCTCAAAATGGACTCTGATTTTTTTGTCTGTTACACTGAAATCTGCTTGAAGCTATTCTCACTGGACAAAATATTGTGTGATATATTTTCTGTGGAAAATAAAGTTAGCTGAATGCTATCTCTGTTTAATCCTCTTTACACAAAACCAATACTAGGGAGTGGACCTAAGTTGTTTTTTAAAAAAAAAAAAGTGAGATAGCAGAGTGAAATTTAATGCTAAAGCCAGGATTGTATTAGAGTGATAACTTAATGAAAAGAAAGCAAACAACTTGTTGTTTTATCAAAATTATGCTAAACTCTTCACAATAAATACATTTTCATCATTCATTTCCTATTGTTTCTTCAGAAAAGCATCAATTCATAGAAAGGGAAGAGGTTAGGGATACATTCCAGAGGAGTGGAGAGTTCTCTCATCTCCATCTGGACCACTCATGAACTGGAAAATTCATGTTTCAGTGCCAGGGAATTATCAGCATAAAGGTCTAGGTTGGCTTCTCTTCATAATATGAGCAACGCTGGACGGCTTCTTTTTCCAACCAACCCAAGGGCAGCCAGAAGCTACCCCATTCTGGTGGGGCAGGCAGGAGATACAAACTCTAAGAGAATTCAGTTGCACTACTGAATGGTGGGAAAGGTCAATCCCTCCTAAGGGGACATACCACAGGTAGTTGGGGCAGCAACAAGAAGCCATGTACTTTCCCCTTAGTTTTCTTTTCTTCCCTCAGCAAAATGTCACCTGACTCCTAAATTAAAAATATATTAAAAATTATATATCAACTGGTTGATCACAGCCAAAATCATTGCTGCTTTGCCCTCATGGAACTTCCTCTCCCAGAGTCAAAGTGAATCTTAACAACAGCAAAAAAGTAATCCACCACTCAGATATAAAATTTCCAGTTTACTAGTCTTTCAGTTCACCTGCTAAAGACATTGGGGTTAGAAATGAAGCTGCCAACTGGCTCTGATCACTCTTTGAGAGAGGCAGCTCAATGCTACCACTAGGGAAGAGCGCGACATCGGAGAGTGAACACAAGGAATCACTTAAAGTAAAACAGTAAGTACACTTCTGTATACGTAGTTAATACTTGCAGATTGCTGCTGTAAGAGTCGTGTCAAATATCACAGCTGAATTTTAAAGGATACTAGTTAACTTAATTCTGAAATTAGAAAATCCACCTTGATGAAATATAATGTCACTTCTTCTAAACTTTCTTTACTGCAAGTATTGTGTTTATTTTGGGGAACTTCTCCCTGCATGAAGTTTTATTAAAGAATTTAGCTGCACTTAGCTGACTTAATTTTTGGACTGACCACCTTAATACATCAGCCACAAGGAATTATTATGATTTTCATAAGTGTATCGAGAAATAAACACTATTATCCTCAACATCAGTATCACCATATTTTTTCAATGAAGTCCATACTCAAAGTGAGAGCAAATGAAAACTATTTTTCATTCTTACTAAGTGCAGAAATATGGTAAAACTGAAATATGACTTGCATCAATTCTTGGTAATAAAACACATACAAAATAGCAGTGATAAATTTTCACTGTGTAACAGAGTCCTTCTGAGTGATATATTTTAGGAGCAATTTGCTATCTTTTTTATATATACGGGAAAGTCATTGTTTTACAAAGTTATCAGAAAACTCAACGTAGCACTGCTGCTAGCATTCTAAAGCTAAGAAGTCATTTCACAATGTTGGTATTGGCTAATTCCTCTATAAAATCCTTCTAAAAAACATCATAACAGCTTGTTACAATTCCAGGCGCTTTTGCCAAGAGTCTTTCTTCTGGGGTTTTCAACACGTACTAGCGGAAGAACTCCTGTTTGTAATGATAGGCTATCGTCTCAACTGTCAAGAAGAAATGCTAGATTGTGGATGAGTATCAGCCGCACCTACGAAAAGGATTAAAGTAAGTTCTATATTCTCAGCACTTTGAGAATTGCTCAACTATTTTAGGCTTTCTAAATGTTACCAGTGCAAAAAATTTGGAGCCTAGGGCAAAATGCTACATATTGAAATCAAACACACACTGTGTTGAAGCACCGTAGTTTCCCAAACTTATCTGTTTATCGAATGGAGAAAATAACATTTTCAGAATGATTTTTGCAAACAAAATCAAAATGAAAGAAGATCATAGTAAAGATTATCAGTTGCCTTAGGTTATATTAATCTTGCACTCTGCTTGTGAAATAAAGAAATATGGGTACAGAACTATATTCTGCACACCTAAAATATATTATAATCAATTACTCACCTTCACAGAGTTTCTGCTTTATAACTTCTTTAATTCTTGATATTGCAATATAATCTTCAACGTAAAATACATAAGTTGATGAAGGCTTGTTGGCAATAGCTTTAAGTTCATCCTCCTCAATTTCTGAGCCAACACCAATAGCAAACAAAGTGATTTTATTTTTTCTTGCTTCTGCTGCTACATCTTTGACTTCATCTTGGGACTTTCCATCAGTGAGAACAACTGCTATTTTTGTTAAAAATCTTGAAGATTTTGCAAAAAGGTGGTCAAAGGCAAACTGAATAGCTCTTCCTGTTCTTGTATTTCCTCCCAAGTAGTGTATGGATTCCATTTCCCTGATGAGATTCTCAGTGGATTCATGAGTTCCAAGAGGAATTTCAAGCACAGGGTAATCGCTGTACTGGACAACTCCAACTTGAATAAACTTTGGCCCTATGTCAAAATTTCTTGTAATATTGACAAGCCAGCTTTTGATTATCTCAAAGTTTTCTGGGCCAACACTGTAAGAGCCATCTAAGATAAAAACTAAATCCGCCGGAGCAGTTCTGCAACCTAAAAAAAACCAGACAAAAATCAAACATTTCAATGAACTCTTCCACTTCCTTCTTTCAAAGGAAATATTTTTTCATATCAATTACCAATTGCATTAGAATTTATATTGACAAATACATTCAATCAAAAAAAAAATCAGCTTAGTTTATCAGAGAAAATCACATTGTTTTTGTAAGCCACACAGATCCAGCTTGGTATCTGAAAATCATACCATTTTCTGGTTTTTACATTATCACCAGAAACAACTACGAAAAATTCTGAAATTCCGTTCCTTAGCTGGCAATTGCATTTCATGCAATCAGCAGAGAGGAACACATCTTGGTTTTTGCCATGTCTCTTTGTCTGCAGAGATTATAAACATGAAAACTCATTTTTGGTAGCAAACCAAGCACATTGCGGAGGAAGGCTATAGTCTGAATACTCCAGAATTCAGCAGTAGTATCCAATCCTTTTACAAACACATTTTAATTGACTTCTGACACTGCTACATGGCATTTACAGAACTAGTTATTATAAAATCCAGAGTCTTGATTGAATGTTGCTGGTAGCATATTCTGATTTTAGTAGAAGAAAAGTGCTCAGAGAACAAGCTCAACCTCCAGCATAAGATCACATAAGCATTTAACAAATATAATGTAACTGCATGATGACTTAGGCATGGATTCAGCTCTCGTAGCTGTAGTCACTTATAAATGGACCTTTTAGACTAAATTGCCAATTATGAACATGGATTGACACAAGCATTTCTATAGGATGGTCCTATCCCTCTTACATGCACACCCTCAGATGGAGGGAATAACTCTCCAGAGGAGAGAATCATCTTCCATCCACTGCGAAAGGAGCTTAGATAACTGACACACAAGGTGCCAAGGAGATGGCCAAAACCAGGAGCGATTATTTTGATCCCATGGCACGCGGGGTTATGGGGACTGCTGTGTGTTATTGTGCTTTTTGCTTTGTGAAGACTGCAGGTCCACAACAGGAAGGAGAGCCTTGCCTTGTCCTGACATCTGCCTGCAAACACTTCTGGTCAGGTCAAAACTTCACCTTCCTTGAAAGCAAGTGACCACAGTCTACTGGAGAGATACTTCTGCAATGCAGGTGGTGGTGAAGAGAAAAGACACTGGGAAAAGGAGCAAGGGATGAGCAGAGTGTGTTACTCTGTGGTCCGGGAACATGAATCACAGAGTAATTTCAGTTGGAAGGGACTTTGGACATCACTGGACTCTGCCAAAAGCAGGTCCAGCTTACAGCAGGTAGACTGAAAAAAAAAAAAGTCCTTCTAGAGACCAAAAGGAATTTTACCGAGTTTGTTGTAAAATACCAAAAATTGCTGCATTGAGAGCAAAACTGGAGGAAAAAGACCTACCCTGAAAGTACCATTGTAGCCACAGGAAAATTTTCCACGCTCTTTTTATTCAGCCACTTTGTCTTTCAGAAAGGTACCTTGCTTTAACATTTTCTTTTTCATAAACCAGATTTAGAAAATAAAACTTGGTTTCATGGGATTTGAGATGCTAATTTTAAAGAATATGCAAGAAGGTCTGTCCCAGAGCCAGAGTTATCTTAGCTTCCTCTCATACAACCTTTATTTTTCTTATTTAGCTTCTCACATAACATTAAGATATTCAAAACATGACTCCTGGAGAAATGAAAATATAAATACTCAAGACACAAGCTTCAATCAAGATTGGAGCTTTACAGTTCCATCTGCCCCTTTGGGCATTTCCAAGACACCAAAAGAAGTAAAGATATTCTCTTCCTAAAGGAGAAATAAGATATCCAAGTAACTTATCATATATTACAGGATTTTCACCAGGAAAATTATACTGGAAAAAAAATCACCACCAACAGAAGAGTACATGTGGACCTGAAAAATGGATACTATATATTCAAGGTATGCTTTGAAGTTGCCCTCATCTGAAATATAAAATTAATAAGACTTACTTGCTCTTGTTTCCCCATCTTCAGCCGAGATATAATCATGAAGTAGGAGAATTAATAGCATCTGGAAAAATGTTATGATCTGTGCCATGTGTATTGTCTTTTCAAAGTCTTGAGATAAAACTAGGTCGGGAAGAAACAAACAAAAAAATACAGTGTTACTATACTACAAAACAAATTCAAACATCTGTGTTTTAAATCCTGCGCATGAGGAACAACTTTGAATTGAATCTGCAAGCCCAGATGTACAGCCAGTCTGCAATGGAGCACAGACCCAAAAACTGTCAGTCAGGCATGTAAGGCCAAAATTGAGATTTGAAACTCAGCAATGCTCACCAGCCTTTCTGTGGAAGCTCAGTTTTCACCAAGGCACATTTATACACTTCTCCTGCTAGGTACATACATGAGTAGATTGTATTCCCAGGCCTGGTCACGCTTGTCCAACTGCTATCCCACTCTGCAGCCATTATGCAAAGCCTTGACAGCTATCGCTCCAAAGTACGGCAAGTGTTTACGTATCAGATACTGATGGGGAGATGTTACTTCAGTCTCAACCCACACATCTGGCTACTTCAGGGAGTCTGGGACACTTCCCACTCTTCCACCCCAGGGATGAGATTGCCACCAGGAGTCAGGGTCTCAGTGAGCCCCAGCCCTCTCTCAGCACAGCCAAGTCCCGCAGAGTGTATATCGTAACACCCAACGTTACATAAATTATATAGATCTACTTTTGATTTTTTCTTTTGTTTATGTCTCCTTTGTTATCATGGTCTCTGAATTATATCCCCAAAAGGGTCCTGAAGCAAACATGCAATTTTGGTCTCATGTTGCTGTCATAAATATTATTTGACAAAATTATTACTTATTTTTATTGAAAAAAAAAAACAGAATCATAATGGGGAAAGATATCTTTTTGGAGTATTGTATTAGAGATCCATTCATTTCAATACTCTGAAAAAAAAAAAAAGTATATTGAATCTCTTTTGTATTCTATCTTCTCATCTTCCAATGTAAAATGCAATTTTCCTAACTACATTTTATCCTCCAATACAAAACATGAACACCCTGACAGAAAAAGGAAGGATCAACTGCTGCTATGAGTAAGTGCACATGCTGGTGTAAGAGAACTGGCACAGGTTGCCCAGAAAGGCTGTGGAGTCTCCATTCTTGGAGATACTCAAAGCCATCTGGACATTGTTCTGAGCAACCAGCTGAAGGGTTTGGACAAGATGAACTCCAGAGGTCCCTTTCACTTTCAACCTCAATCATTCTGTGATTCTTCGATTTCTACTAAACTACGTTCATATAAGCAAAGATTTGGTCAATTAAATGTCATTAATATAACAGAGGACAGAATTTTACAATAACTTAAAAAATCTGTGTATTTTAACAGAAACTTTTTTCCCCATTGAGTTATTCGGTGTATATTCAGAACAACATCTTTGGGCTGCTCAGTAATTGGCCAACCCATCTACTGCTTTTAAATTTTCCCACGTTTATGGGAAAATCTCTAACCCATGAAAAATAAAGCTAAATTCAGGACAAATTTTCAGTAGCTGTTCAGGGACAATTCATTGCACTACCCTTCAGTGTCACTGATTTAAGTATCACTAATTTAAGTATTTTACATCTAGCCAGAAGACTAAACATTCCTCTTCTCTCTACAGCCTTTGCCCATCACATTACCAGTGATTAGGTACTAGCAGATGTTCTGAAACTTCTGTAGTACTGGAAAATAATATTCTCCAAAAATACACCAAAACACAATTCAGTACACCTACTGCAAGTGTCTCTTAGGACAAGAAATAGGTAAATGGAAATAAGCAACCATTTTCTTTTCCAAGACTAGTTAAGGGAGTAAACTGATAAACTGAAGAGAATGCCACTTAATCACTATAATATGCTGAGCAGCCATCAAGCAGCCAGTAAGCTGTTATCTGCAACAAAATTCTACAGCAAATAAATGTAGACCTTTCTCTCTAAAGATGTATATACTCGACACAACGTTTTTAAGAAAATGATATGGGAAGAAGGGATTATAGAGTTACGGAGCCAAGATAATAACAAATAGAGACACAGTAATTTTAATGTCAGGTTCATTTCTGGTAGATTCATGATCTGTATTTGCCAAACAGCAGATGTGCCACAAAATCAGTAAGTTGATTACTCTGGCTTTTCAGTCAGCTGCTTTGCTTCTTCCACTGCTTATAAAGCACTCATTCCATCAAGACAAAAAAAAAAAATTATCTCCACAAACAATCTCAAGAAATGCACAAAAATCAATTTCCGGGAAATGCTACTCCTCCCTAATATAATCCCCTGAAGTTAATAATATAAAAACATAATTATTACGTTATTTAATATCACCTTCAGATTGCAAATAATTGCAAGGCAACATCATACTTTGTTATTCGTATTACCTTGCATCAGCATGGGTGAGAAACCAGATGAAGCACTTTGAGGTCTATGGGACAGGACATAAGATGCACTGTTCCAATGACACTACACAAATCCTGGGATGTCAACTTCATTTAAATAGATGAAGTGGCAGTTTCTTGTCCCAGTTATTTGAAAAAGGATCTGTTTAAACTATGAAATCAAGTGTATAAGTAATAGCCATGTAATACATGAGAAAATTGTACCCTAGTAGAAGTGGACAATTTACATTGATTATTTCAGACTTGATGGTTTGCAAGATTCATCATTTTAATATCACTTTCAGCCTTTTCTGTGGCAAGTGTTTACTGAAGGGTAAAACACATCTCTCAAGAGGCCAAACTGAGCAATACCAAAGAATATATGAAATTAAATCTATGTGGGAATTTGACTAGCAGGTAACCAAAGAAGGACAACTACATTCTTTGAGAATATCAGTAAAATGTCAGCCTATAACTGAAAAAAACCCAGACAGACTACTGTACAGTGAGCTGGTGTATATCAAAAAATCACAACACTGGCCTACAACAAACTATAAAATCCTATAGATTACTCCCACCACAATCCCAAAAGAAAAAGGTTACAAAAAATTGGTAAGGAATAGTTGTGGAAAAGGCAACTGAGGAAAATACCACAAGAGTACATTAGCTAATTTTCGGTGTTTGCCATCCCTGTGGTTGTCTAAATGGTTATTTATGTAAAATCCATAGAATTTATACAAAAGGAAAATAAAAAACAAGCAACTTGGTGACTGCACTGCCACTGCATCAGTCTTCACTAAAAAGAATACAGGGACTGCTACCATTAACATTGCACCTTTTTTTAAAAATAAAACAGTACACTAAATCTACAAAATTGTTTTAAGAACACACTCCCTGCAGCACAAAACTGGTATGTGCTCCGTGCCACAAGCGCAGGCGCTGTGGGTCAGGTGGTGACATTGGGATCCGGCTCGCTGGCGCAGCTCCCCTGTCACCAACTCCTGCAGAAGCCATTAATGCCCTCCTTAAACCGCACCATCCCCTTTCATCTTGCTCATCCTTCCACAAACACTCACCCACCGGTACCTTCAGGGATGAATCCTGCAGATTGGCAGGAACAAGAGAAGCTACAGGGAAGAGGAAGATGCTCAGAGCTGACTGAGTGGGAAGGGAAGAGCAGAGGGCTGGAAGGAACTCCAAGGAAGGAGGTGCTCCACAGAAACACTAACACTTCACCGTGGGAGAGGCATTTGTGAAAGCAGCATTTACTGGCTGCCCTGGAGTACAGAGAGCCTGGTTTAGGAGCAGAAGGGAAAGGTCATGTCAAAACCACTGCAAATTAGGGATGCTATAGGGGAACTAGAAGTAAGGAAAAGAAAATTCACGGGGATAGGCTGTGGTGCATTCCACACACACACACAGCAGAAATGTGCTGCCCTCTGAATTTTTCAGTTCTGTACTATTCATTTTCATTCATCTCATTCATGCATACGTTTTAAACACAGGCAAAAATTAATGGCACACCCCTCCTTACAACCCCACTGGTCAGCTCTCATCAAATTGTCTTAAAACTCTGCGAAACAGGAGGCCCCAAAGAAAAAAGGTAGAATAACAACGAAGAAAAGATTTTAAGTTCCTCCTGGCCCCAGCCCCACCTACCCAGAGAGAACTGCTGCTCACTGTGCAACCCTGGCCTTGCATGAGGGGCATATCCAAACTCGCTCTTGTTCTATCAGTTAAAGAAATAATACTGGGAATTCCTTCACAAGCCAACAGGCATCAATGTGAGGGAGTGCAGGAGGGAATTACAGGGCAGGTATCATACATGTCTCACTTCTCACAGTGAAGAACTTCCATTCCTCACTAGTGAATGCTACAGCAGCCTTCAGTGTACATCTTTTAACTCGGAAACACTCAAATAATAAAACTATCACATCACAGTAAGATTTCTTTTGGTGAAAATCATACTCCAACTTATATTTCTCAAAAAGAATCAGTAAAATAATTGGCAAAACAGGCTTATCTGATTAGTGGAATTGAATTGTATTCCCTCAACAGATCAATTTTTCCACCTATTTGTGAGAGTCTTTCTGTATTTCATTTACAATAAAGCCTGAAAAATATGAGATACTGAACTTGAGAACTTCATTATAAGTATAAAGGCAAATAACTATTTAGTAGTCCAAAATGAACTTAGTAATAGAAACCAAAATTAAAAGGATAAACCCAAGACTTTAGCAACCAGCCAATGAGGATTCCAAGAATTATTCAGTGTTCAATTTGAAATAAAATAATAATATAGCACTGCACTTTTAACAGTCAAAAGAGATGCCAAACCAACAACTCCAGAGATCAAACTTCTGTGTCTTGTCGACACAGTAATTACAGCACAGGCAATAGATGTGTACTCAAAATTACTTACAGAAAATACTTGCTCAAGTGCCTTATTGCTACCATGGAGAGGCCACCATTAACATCAGCCCAAGACCTCTTCATTGACATTGCCATAAGACAAAATTCCTTGCTGCTGATGATCATGTCCTTTCTATCCCCAGGTTTTTAAGATAAACAGAGAAAGTTGTCTCTATGGTGGTCCGTGGAAGCACTTACTGCTTTCTTCTCTGCCCCTGAGAGCTCTGCTGCCTGCTACGAGAAGTCAGGGTGCTCGTGCCAA